TTTTTTTAAGCATTGGGCAAAACGTATGGGAAATAAAAACATAAACGTAAAAACTTGTCGCGGTACAAATATATCAACGGTTGGTGTCGATATAGGAGATTGGATTTACGAGAAAAAAATTCGAAATCAATCAACACACGGCCCCGTAATTTTCAGAACATGGGATTTTGGAGGGCAAAAAGAATACTACGCAACGCATCAATATTTCTTATCAAAGCGTAGCCTTTATTTAGTTGTATGGAAAATCGCTGATGGTTACAAAGGAATCAACGAAATCCTCCAATGGTTAGTCAACATCCAAGCTCGGGCCCCGAATTCACCCGTTTTAATCATCGGAACCCACTACGACATCGTCCAAGAACGAAATCCAACCGTTTCCGAGGAATACCAACAAGTAATAAGAGATCGTTTCATCAATATAGTCGATGCGGAAAAATGCGGACTCCCTCGGGTTTTAGACACGATTGAAATTAGTTGTAAAACGAGGCATAACATAAAATTATTGTGCAATTTAATTTATGACACGGTGTTTAGTTTGAGACCGCCTGGAAGTAAAGAGTTACTTTTAGAACAAAAGGTGCCCGCTTCTTATTTGGCTTTGGAAGATGTTGTTAATCATATTTCGGCAGAGAGGCGAATTAATAATTTAGATCCGGTTTTAAATGCGGAACAATATCGGACGATTGTTACGACGGAAATGCAACAAAGATATGGAAGGAGTTTTAGGGATGCTGGTGAATTACATCAAGCTACTTTATTTTTACATGATAATGGTAAGAACAAAAATATACAGGTGCCCATTATGTATGGAATATAGTATATATCTTGGTAAGTATCAACTTTATAAAAAAACATTTTATAAAATAGTTGGTATCTCGAATTTTATTATTGGAGATGTACACTAATTTTTCGTTTATTTGTTTTATTTTGTATATAGATTTAATTTACGATAAATAATATATAAATGGCTTCGCCACTCGTTTTTCAACTTGAATTCGTGCATTTCAAGTGTGTCTTACGAAACTTGTTTTTTAATATACTATTACGTCGTTTTGACGTTATGTAACGTCACTTTTTTTTATAACTAGTGATGTAATGAATTCCATTACCTAACTACAAATTGATAAATTGACATTTGTCACTAATAGAATAAGTCAAGTTTTAAACAAAACGATATGAAACGGTTAATTTTGTGTAACTCACGTAATTTGAAAAACTCGCTAGTTCACTCGCTTGTTTTGGCAAATATTCGTCAAACAAAATTAGTTTTTTCATAACTGATATTACGTAAATAATTATTATGGCAAATAAAATATTAATCAACTTTTGTATAAAAAGTTTTTTTATAAAGTCAATATAAGATTTACCGAGTTATACTATATTCCATACATAATGGACACTCTGTATTTCTATAGAAACCAATGTGTACCTACATACTTTGCCCCACATAAAATGCAACATGTTAATATAATTTGACGTTACAGTAAAACCTCGACATATTATAGCTTAACAAAAATATACAATAATAACAGAGCTGAATAACAAATAAAACTAGACTAACACTAGACCTAGAACTAGAAACATTCCATTTAGCCGTGCGCCTCTTAACCACTTTGAACATTTAATTTTTCTAAAAAAAGATGTCCAAAAACTGTCAGCTTATTTTATTTTCTTTCTTTAAGTCTTAAAAATTAGTAAGGAATCTGAAATTAAGTAAAAAACAAGAAATGAAATGATTTAATTTTAAAATAGTTATATTTATTCAATAAGAAATTTGGGTATGACATTTTTGAACGAGATCTAATCGAAATTTCAAATGTGATTTTAGACCTCCCTGTTTTCTATGTACAGGGTGGGCAAATTTGGGTGTTATTATAGGCTATCTCAGAAACTATAAGAGACACGAAAAAAGTAGGTGCCATGTCCCGGTTTCTTTTTTCGAGACTAACCCAATCCCGCAAACACCAAACCTCTATCTTCTTTTGTTTTTTAGTTATAGCCAAAAAGTCAAATTTTCGTGATTTCAAAAAATGCTCATATTTCGTTTATTTTTGAAATTAGAGGAATGAGGTTGATACGTTCTTAAGACACTTTTTTAAGTAGAATATACTGCCATTGAAAAATCTTAAAAATATTTAATGATTTTAGAGATACAACACAAAGTTGTATTTTTTTAAATACAAACTATAGTAGATTATGGTTTTACTGAAAAGAGCATATTTTTAGCTTTCCAATGATGTATTGCACGCATGGTGTATTTGGGGAAAATAAGCGTTATTTTTTAATTCTAAAATATTAAAGATTAATATTCAAAATTTTAATTATAGTAGGCGAGGAAAACGTTAAATGCCACTTAGCTACTATATGTGAGTTTACTGATCATTTCATTCATGAATTTTTCGAAGCGAGTTTCCCACTTAAAAATTCCTCATTATTTTTAAATACATAAAGTGATAAAATTAAAAAATGATTCTTTGAAAATGATAGATAAGGCTCCATATCCCATATAAACATCGTTTTAATGGAAAGTCTGCTGCTCAGTTTATCATCCCTAATCTTCCTCTATACTACCGAAGATTTCATTCATTAAGTAAGTAAGTATAGTAAGTTTAGTAGAAGGAGATGACACAGTCTGTGACTGTTTAGTTCCTGAAGTTGTTGTTCATATTTAATTATTCATTAATTAATACGTTTCTTGTATTTTTAATAAACAAACTTTATCTACTAAATCATTTTTATCGATGAAGAAAGTCAGGGATAAGATATCTACTCCCAACTCTGTGTCCACTTGAGACTGTTTTAGCTCTCCGAGAGCTTCTATAAAACTTCCGAGAGCTTTCTCTCAGACATTTCTCTCAGGAGTGTCACTAGTGTCCACTAGCGAAATGTGTCCGTGCTATGGAAAGTAAAATTTATTTTCTTTCAGTGCTTGGTGTTTGTAAACATGGATGTAAACAAAATTGCAAGTGCAATAGTGTTGTACAAAATTTCAAAAAAAAACAAACTGAAAAAAATAAAAAGAAGCTGTTGGGTGAAATCATGGATTTGGCGTAGATTAGAGCTGGGTGTCAACAAATATCAACATTCGTTGTCAAATTGTTAGTTATTTGGCATACTGGATTCACAAAAAAGTGAACTCGATTGCTTTAATGGCACTTATAAATGCAAACTATAAGTTTATTGTCGTACACGTGATAGCTTAATAGTGGCTTGGCAGTATTTTGGAAAATTATTAGAAAATATAAACTTAAACGCCTCAATTGCTGAAAGAGACTAGATATTGCTGGCAGAAGACTAAGTACTACTAATGAAAGACTAGATGTTGCAAATGAAGCAGATTCTTCTTACAGAAGACTGCACACTACTACCAGAAGACGAAATACTGTTGGTAGAAGACTAGATATTGCTGCAAAAGACTAGATATTGCTGGCAAAAGACTAAGTATTGCTAGTGAAAAACTAGATATTGCAAATGAAGCACATCCTTCTTACAGAAGACTACACACTACTACTAAAAATCAAATACTTTTAGCAGAAGACTTAATTTTACTGTCAGAACACCAAATTATGTTGTCAGAAGTTACTATTACTAATGGTACAAATCCCGTTTAAATTTCTGTCCAATACTTGTTAAAATTGCATCCTTCGCTTCCCGATTTCTATGTTCATTAGATGTGATATTCCAAAGAATTGAATTTTCTTCATACACTTCAATTAATTCAAATATTTCTTCTTGGGACTATTTTCTTTTAGGTGTTATCTTTAAACGTGTTATATTGAGAAAACTCGCAGCTACTCGCAGCAAAATTCGAACCGTGTTCGGTTTTTGACAGTTACTCTCACGATAGATAAATTGTGCGTGTCCACTTGAGTACAAATCTCAACGTGTTTACTCTCCGAAAGTTTGTGGGGACTCTCTGATAGTTACTCTCAGATGCGTGTCCACCAGAAAATATACTCTCGATAGCTTCTCTCGAGAGCATTTCTCGCAAGTGGACACTTAGCTTAATGGTACAAGACCAACTTTCTGTCATATTCGTGCAAAACCATACAGCAATTAGGTAGTAATTACTGTCCGAACCCGCCTACTATAATCAAAATTTTGAACTTTAGCGCTTACTATTTTGGAATTGAAAATTAACGCTTATTTTCCGCAAATGCACCATACATGCGATACATCATTGGAAAGCTAAAAATATGCTCTTTTCATTAACATCATAATCAAGTATAGTTTGTATTTAAAAAAATACAACTTTGTGTTGTATCTCAAAAATCATCAAATATTTTTAAAATTTTTCAACGGCAGTATATTCTACTTAAAAAAGTGTCTTAAGAACGTATCAACCTCATTTCTCTAATTTCAAAAATAAACGAAATATGAGCATTTTTTGAAATCACGAAAATTTGACTTTTTCGCTATAACTTAAAAACAAAAGAAGATAGAGGTTTGGTGTTTGCGGGATTGGGATAGTCGCGAAAAAAGAAGCCGGGACATGGCACCTACTTTTTTCGTATCTCTTATAGTTTCTGCGATAGCCTATAATAACACCCAAATTTGCCCACCCTGTACATATATACCAAATGAATTCCAACTTGTCTGATCAAGAAGGTGTTGAAACATTTTATATTTCTTTCCGCGCTTTTTGATAATAAGATAATTTGTTAGTGTCTTTATTAATACCGCCCATAGAATTGTTGTAATCATTGTTAAATTTTGGATTTTTTTATAATCTTGCGTTCTTTCATCATTTCTGTATTGTGAAGTGTTGATAACTGTTGATAAGAAGCCAACGTCCTTTTTGTCTTTCCATTTCATAACACATACTTTTCCTCTCTGGTATGTCTTCTTTTTCAGCTTTTTCTTTTGTAGTTTTTTCGGCATATTTTTTCTTAAATGATGAATGGCAAACATATTCGGATTTCGATTCGTATAACATTTAAGATTTGATGCCGAACCTGGCTGTTTTTAGAGGCATATACTGAATAGTCTATTGTTACATCTCTTTCGAGTGTAATCTCAGAAGAAAATTTTTTATTTAGATGTTTAATGACAGGCCATAATTTAATTAGTTTCGGATATGGGTGCGTTTCTGCATTATATCTTACATTGTTTGTAAAATGTATACAATTCTTCAATAAACTAAAACGTCTACAGGACATAACTTTTGCGAAAAATGGTGTTTCAATCAAATCATTCTTCGACCAGTACCATTCGCATTTTGACTTACTTAAATACCTTGCAAAATTTAAATAGCAGAAAAAAACATCAATTCTCCATAATTTGTCGGTTTCCACTTCTTCATACGTGAAAATCTTCTCGAAATTCCAGTACCACATTAAACTGCATATCTCTTAGTCTTAGTTGTAATTATGTCCAGGATTTCCGTATTCCAAAAAAAATCAAAATAGCGTAAAATTAATTCCTCGTTAAAATAGAAATTTACACCAGGTGTGTCGCTAAAAGGAAACCTTGACAAACAAGGTTTCTTTGAATTTAACGACATTTTTGTTCTCTAAATCAGAATCATAGGACCATGACTCTGAAAAATCACTTTCACTTTCTGATTCGCTTATCAAAATTTCCTCATCACTTTCTAAAATTATTGACTAAAAAAAAGATAGGAAAAAAAAAACAGTTATAATAAGAAGTTTTACTCTAAAATGAATATTACTTATTTTACTTATATTAAATGAATATTACGCGTAATAAAAGTGTAAACAACTAAATACTATAAACAGGTTAAGACATGCGGAAAACATACCTCCACCACTCAAAGTGCAAGTAATATGAACAATGTTCGTAAAAATCATCTCCACATCTCGCTGTACAAGCAAACTTCGTGCAAACATACTTTCTAGTTCCTAGGTCTAGTGTTAGTTCTAGTTTTATACTATCACTAGAACTAACGCAAGACCTAGAACTAGAATCATTCGGGTTCAGCCGTCTTGAGAGACGTGCGGCTAAATCCGAATGTTTCTAGTTCTAGCTCAAATGTTAGTTCTAGTGACAGTGCTAGGTAGCGCTAGTTAGCATTAGATATCATTATTTTGTATATTTTTATGGATCTGAACTCCTGGAAGACGGCCGAAAACTCGAAACTTTCTAGTTCTAGGTCTAGTGTTAATGGATTATCGTAAGGACGTCACTTTTTTTCCTTTGCAAAACTATCCAATATCTGTATTATTAGGCTATGTTGCATTTTATTTGTGATAGTACAAGTGCATAGTAGTTTCATAATTATAGTTATTGCATTCATATATTGCGATTATATTATAATGTTGAAATTTTTTGTAATTAGGTGTTCTTCTTCACTACGACGACGCAACATTAAAAGATTTATATTTCCTCGACCCACAATGGCTTTGCGATATGCTCGCGCACGTTGTAACAATTCGCGAAATAAATCCTTTCGCCCGAACGGGAATAATGAAATTAGAAGACCTCAAACACATTTTCAAAGCGAGCAGTATCGGGCCGATGGACACCAGGGGTTACATTGTGAATTTATTAAACAAATTCGAAGTGGCTTTAACGTGGGACTCCAGAACTTTATTAATACCCTCATTATTACCATCGGAAGAAGATATTTATTTAGCCCAATTATATCCGGGACAATTTCATCCGATGGTTAAAGTTAAGGTTCCGTTACGATCGAGAGGATGGGCGATTAGAAATAAAAAAATTTCGGTTTCACCAAAAAGCGTTTTGTATCGAGATAATAGCATGGCTAAGTTTCAAATGAGTTTACCATCATCGAGCTCAAATAATGGTAAATTAGATTATTTATAATTAGTTTTTAATTAATTTAAATTAATTATTTTTTTAGAAGAATTACAAGATGAATCAAACGATTTATACCAAATCACGAATTCCCCATCAAATAAATCGATAACTCGTTTACTTTTGATGTCGTATTTTCCATCAGGGTTTTGGTCAAGATTAATGTCGAGAATACTTGCTGATGATTCAATCGTTGATATAATAAGATCGTTTTTTATTCTACCAAAAGATGTCGTTCAAGATCTTGAATTGTTGAAGTTATTAGATTTAAAAGCGGAGTGGGTTTTGTGGCAAACTGGGTTGCAATTAAAATATGGTGATATAACCTTATTTAGGATGAGGGAAGTTCTAAATAGTTCGGCGACTTGTTATCGCCAAATGAAATTTAAATTAAAACAAGAAGGGCAGTGGTGCGATGTTGATTTGCAAAATTCTTCCATTTTAGAAATATATTTCCCCGTTGATTCATTGATAATTAAATCATTAAAATGTGATAAAAAAGATTTAATTATTGACTGCACCCCAGAATCAACAGCGCAACTTTTAGCTTTAGCTGTTGATCATATTGATATTCTCTTAGAAGATTGGTACCCAACGTTAGGAACGAGATTTGTTCATACATCAGAAGGAAAATTTTTAGTTACACGTTTAATACCCTGCCCAACATGTTTATCAAACTCAAATGAAATGGAGCAACAATTGGCGCATTTTCCCGGCGATCCTGGTAAACATTTATTGGAACCACCGTTTAATCAGGATGAAATTGACGCGAATTTCTATCGAATCCGAAAATCTCAAGAGAGTTACACTTCCGAATGTGATAGCGGCGTTGGGCCGGATTCAGCCGGATCGAGTCGTATGCCTTCTGTGGAAGGTCACCCCGCTTTAAATTCGGATGAAAATAAGGATGTTCAACATGTTTTTTATAGTTGGATGGTTGAAGAATGTATTTTGGCTGCTTATGGTAGTAAAAATGTTGAATGCCCGAATCATGGTGATGTTCATTTAGCGAAAATTGCTCCAGATACGGTAAATAAATAAGATTTTAATGTTATTAATTATTAAAATAAGTTATTTAATAACAATTATATTTTAATGAAATGACTGAATACGTTGATTGAATGAATGAATTTGAATTAATGATTGTTATAAATAATAGTAGTAATGATTTTATATAGAAACATGATCTTGTTATTACATGTCGTGTGCACAACATGTATAGGGTGGTTCAAATTCGATGTCCAAATAGGCTATCTCGGAAACTATAAGAGTTAGAAAAAAAGTAGCTTACATGTCATGATCTCGTTTTTCAAGGAACTGCTAATGCTAAAAACCTCAAAGCGCTATCGTCTTTTGTTTTTCCCCTAGAGGCCAAAATTGAAAATATCGTACCAGCAAATGCAATTATCTTGGTTATTATTATAGGTGGAGTATTATAACTGAGACATTTTATGGACACTTTTTTACAGAGAATTTCATGACGTAGTCAAAAAAAAGTTTTAGTTTTTAGATTTTATGACAATTTTCATTTTTTTAAATGGAAACAACCACCATATGGGGCTAGATAGGTCTATTTCTTATTGTTTTAGAATAAAGCTAAAAATAAACTTCCTTTTTAGTGTCGTCAAAGAAATTAAATTTACAGTTTCCTGTAAATTTGGCTCAACTTTGACAGCTTATAGCTTGAAAACAAACGAGTTGGGACCTTACTCTTATATATAAAAACCTTTGTTTTTCCCCTAGAGGCCAAAATTGAAAATATCGTAAAACCGGCAAGTACAATTATCTTGGTTATTATTATAAGTGGAGTATTATAGTTAAGACATTATATGGACACTTTTTTACAGAGAATTTGATGATGTAGTCAAAAAAGGTTTTCGGTTTTAGATTTTCAGATATTATAACAGTTTTCGTTTTTTTAAATGGAAACAACCACTGATTATTGGCTTATTAAATTCGTTATTTTTTTCTGATTACAAAAATATGAAGCTAGATAGGTCTATTTCTTATTGTTTTAGAATAAAGCTAAAAATAAGCTTTTTTTTCATGTCGTCAAAGAAATTAAATTTACAGTTTCCTGTCAATTACAGTTCTATAACTAAAAATTATTCTACTAAAAATTTATATAAAATTTACTTTATTTTTTAATATGTAACATTCTAACATGTTAAACTTTTCGTAATTTTCGTAATCCATCTTAAAAAGCAGGATTTTTAATTTGACACTTCAGAAAATTTTTCAATACAAACAAATGTTGCTATGTTAATTTGAATTTAAAAAAATAAAGTCCCTAGTTTTACAAAGTACCGCGGTTTGACGCCATTTTGGCTCGAAAGTCAAGCGGGAAATTTAAAACTACAAACCAAATCATTACGCCAAATTTTCTTTCTTTTTTTCTCGTGGTACTCTGAAGTCCTTCGGTCGAAAGTCCTTCTTACTGCCATTTTTGCAACTCCAAAGGCAACAAGACGGCAATATTTTTGTAAATAAGTGGTGAGATGCAGTGACAAGATGTCAAACCGTCATTTTGGCTCGAAAACAGGCTTCATGAACCGCGGTACTTTATAAATTAAAGATAAAAAAATAAAGTCCCTAGATTTACAATTGAATTGATTTACATTTGAAACTTTTGTAATAGACCAATTGATAGATAATTGATCACTTTACACGAAAATACTGCCCGTTTGACAAAATTAGCAGTGAAGTTGAAAATATTTTTAAAAAAGGGCTTTTTATTGCAGATTATGTTTAATTTTAAAAAAACTTTGATCCGCTATATCTCGTAAAGGAGGCATTTGCGACCCCATGTATATTAAGACTTTTCATCTTAATTTTTGATGTATTACCTGCCCTAGAAGTCTGTCAGCGGTTTTTTGAATCACCCTGTATTATATCTTATCTATGGCAATAATAGTTAAAAGTGTTTGACAAGTTAACATCAGATTTTAAATTGTTGTTAGTAGTTCGTCGTGTTGTGATGTTGTTCTGGTGCGATATTTTTGAACTTCCTAGAGATGTGTTAAGGTCGAAGTTAAATTCATTGATTCCCACACCCTGTCGGCAATAGAAAGAATATCCACAACGTCTTATTTGCTAGAAGCGGGGAGTGCTACAGAAACAACACGAGGTAGTCTCCTTTCCCATAACTTCAACAATAAATTTGGACTAACTGCCTAAAAGCCACCGTGGTCAACATCGCTCGATAAAAATTGGGCGGTTTTTGATCTCCCATTTGAGAACCTAACAGAATATCGTCCAAACGTTTTTCTTCACTCAAAGATAATCTTTCAATTAAAATTTTTTTTTTAATAAAGAATATGGATTCGTATCTGGAGGATTCTGAATGAGATCCATAACCACCGTGGTAGGGTAGAGATTATCTCAGTTATCTCATTTGCCAAAAGAACGTTAAATTTAGTTTTCTCATTGCTAATTTTAGCTAAAGTAAACTGCTCTTCAACTTGTCGAAACCAAATACCGGGATTAGAAGGCCAAAATGGTGATAATTTCAATTTTAAAATATTTTGTAATCAATTCTAACAACATAAAAATTCAGAAAAAAGTTTGTTTCAATTTTAAAGTATCTTCTTATTATATGTCAGCATGCTACAGTTATATTTAATTTCTTTTTTTTAGATATTCGTAGATCTTGGTGATAGATACCTAATAAAACCGGAAAACATCAAAAAAGGGCGCTTATTAGGCAGAGGCGCTTTCGGTTTTGTTTTTAAAGGGACTTGCAAAAATCGTTGTACAAACACCGTAATTGATGTAGCTATGAAAATGCTACAACCCGTCCAACCCGGTCCTAACGCACGTCAATCCGCGATAATCGCCTATAAAGCGGCCCAAGGAAAATGGGATCGCGACCCCCTTCAATACGCTTGTAAAGCGTATTGCACCGCCCGACAAGAATTAAGCATCTTACTCTCATTAAGGCACCCAAATATCGTCCCATTCGTTGGGGTTTGCACCAGCCCTTTAGCGTTAGTTTTAGATTTAGCCCCCCAAGGAGCGTTAGATTTGGTTTTAAAACATCATAGAAGAAGCGGAGCTAAAGTCGGACCTTACACATTACAAGCGATTATTTTGCAAGTTGCCAAAGCGATAGAGTATTTACATCGACAACATATCATTTATCGTGATTTAAAATCGGAGAATGTTTTGGTTTGGGAGATGCCGCCCCCATTTCATGACAACCCCGATTATGAGGTTCACATAAAAGTAGCCGATTATGGAATCAGCCGATTAACTTTACCGTCCGGGGCGAAAGGTTTTGGGGGAACCGAAGGATTCATGGCCCCAGAAATCATGCGTTATAATGGGGAGGAAGAGTATACAGAAAAAGTCGATTGTTTTTCGTTCGGAATGTTTATTTATGAGTTATTAACGTTGCATCAACCGTTTGAGGGGCACGAATCGGTTAAAGAATGCATTTTGGAAGGGGGAAGACCGCCGTTGACATATCGAGAAACTTTGTATCCTAGTTATTGTTTGGATTTGATGGTGCTTTGTTGGTCTCAACAGCCGAAAGATCGACCATCGGCTAGTCAAATAGTTTCGATTGCTAGCGCACCAGAATTTATTCATTTAAGTGATGTTATGTCTTTGAAACATCAAGCTAATGTTGAAGCTACAACAAGTGCCCCAATTACACATATAACAGGTAAAAATTATCATTTTGAATTAATTTATTGTAAAGTAATAATTTTTTAGATGATGGTTTATCCGGATCTGAACTTTGGTTAATGTGTGCAAATTCAAGGGTGGATCTTTTATTGGCTGCAGATCGCGGTTGGCTTCAATATCACACAATGACTTTACCAATTAGGCCAACGGCGACCTGCACAGTGGGGAATTCGATTTGGATTGGGGATTTTGCAGCCAGAGTGCACGCTTATTCGTGAGTTAATTAAATATTACCCAAATAATAGTTATTATAGGCTATCTCAGAAACTATAAGAGATACGAAAAAAGTATCCCGGAAAAAGAGACTGGGATATGGTACCTGGTCTCTTTTTCCGGGACTAATCCAATCCGGGAAAGACCAAACCTTTATCTTCTTTTGTTTTTAAGTTATAGCCAAAAAGTCAAATTTTGGCGATTTCAAAAAATGCTCATATTTCGTTTATTTTTGAAATTAGAGAAATGGGGTTAATACATTTCCTCTGTAAACCTGGGTATTTCCTGTTCGCACTACAACTGTTTAGGCAAATAATTTCTTCATTTGTATAAAAAAATATGTAGGCAAAAATCAATTTTTCAGTAATTTTATGATTGATTTATCAAGTTGAAGGTATCGAACGTTATCATGAATTGTTTATAAAATTTTTTTAGTGCATTAACAGGATGAAAAAAATGGCCGAATCCGAAAGACCCATCTTTACAGACGAAAGGTGCTAAAAAACCGCTTACAGACGAAGGCTTAAGACACTTTTTTGAGTAGAATATACTGACGTTGAAAAATTTTAAACATAGCTGATAATTTTTGAGATATAACATAAAATTGTATTTTTTTAAATACAAACTATAGTTGATTATGATGTTACTGAAAAGAGCATATTTTTAGCTTTCCAATGATGTATCGCACGCATGGTGTATTTGCGGAAAATAAGCGTTATTTTTCAATTTTAAAATGTTCATAAAGTTCAAATGTTTAATTATAGTAGGCGGAGAAAACGCTAAACTCAGCCCCAGGGATCTTTGAAAGGAGAACTTGGGACTGATTATATGTCGAAATCCCACCGTAAGATGGCATTACCGTCTATACTGAAATTATTTAATTAAACTAACAATTTTATTATTAATAGTGGGAATGATGAGAGACAGCAATAACAATTATTACCAGTATCATTCTTTTAATTTAAAGGTACAGATTCCAATTCGTGTTATATTTTTAAACAACTAACTTCAACTTTTAAAATTATAAAGTTGAAGTTAGTTCAGAATGACAGATGAAAACGTCATTTTAAATTGACTTTTTGGTAAGAGTATAATAAACTAATAATGGTATGATTAAATAATTAGATTATAACTGACATTATAGCTTTGTTTCAGCTAACATTATAAGTTGTTGGAAGCTCGTCAGATGCAATCTCACATGTCATATGATGCGATATGTGCGGCATTATTTGACAGGTGTAATTGCCATAGGTAATTGCATTTGAGGGATTCCCAACCAGTCGGAACGTTAATTGGAACCTAATAGTAGCTCCAAATACTTTCCAAACAGTTATTTTGTGGTTGGAGCTTTTATATACAAACCCAATCCAACCTGTATTCTAGTGGTTCGGTTCTTAGCTAAATATTTCCAAAATATCCCCAACAGATTGCGCCATACGCGTTCAATTTTTAGTATGAAGTTTTTTTTTGAGAGTTGCATTTCTACGAAGCTATTTTCTATGATGCCACTTAGTTACTATAGCAACGTGAGTTTACTGATCATTTCATTAATGAATTTTTCAAAACGAATTTCCCGCTTAAGAATAAAACGATAAAATTAAGTATAGAATACATTGGAGTCCGTTTTGAAGATGATACATCAGTCTTCATATCCCCATTGAATCGGTATTTTAATGGAAAGTCCGCTATGATCCCTAATTTTCTAATTTTTATCTCACCCAATTTCAAAAGAAAACATTGCTGATATCAAAAAACTTGTGAATCTTATGTTTGGGGAAAACTGGGAAAATNGTTTTTAAGTTATAGCCAAAAAGTCAAATTTTGGCGATTTCAAAAAATGCTCATATTTCGTTTATTTTTGAAATTAGAGAAATGGGGTTAATACATTCTTAACCCTTCCTCTGTAAACCTGGGTATTTCCTGTCCGCACTACAACTGTTTAGGCAAATAATTTCTTCATTTGTATAAAAACATATGTAGGCAAAAATCAATTTTTTGGTAATTTTGTGATTGATTTATCAAGTTGAAGGTTTCGAACATTATCATGAATTGTTTATAAAAAATTTTGAGTGTATTAACAGGATGAAAAAACGAAAGACCCACCTTTACAGACGGAAGGTGCTAAAAAACCGTTTACAGACGAAGGGTTAAGACACTTTTTTGAGTAGAATATACTGACGTTGAAAAATTTTAAACATAGCTGATATTTTTGAGATATAACATAAAGTTGTATTTCTTTAAATACAAACTATAGTTGATTATGATGTTACTGAAAAGAGCATATTTTTAGCTTTCCAATGATGTATAGCACATGGTGTATTTGCGGAAAATAAGCGTTATTTTTCAATTCTAAAATGTTCATAAAGTTCAAATGTTTAATTATAGTAGGCGGGGAAAACGCTAAATGCCACTTAGTTACTATAGCAACGTGAGTTTAAGATCATTTCATTCATGAATTTTTCAAAACGAATTTCCCGCTTAAGAATAAAACGATAAAATTAAATATATGTACAGTATGTCCCCGGATCGAGTTACAAAGAGGAAAAAAATTTTTGTTACTGATTTTTCAAATTTATCTCAGCATAAATAATGCGTCGGATATGTTCAAACTTCTAAATCGCATGCATTTTATACTCTAACTATAAAAGTTAACTAATTATTCCAATTTTTATGTAAAAATTGGACTTCTTTCTAAATTGAAATTTTTTCAAGTTCAATTTATGACATGTAACCATAGAAACCATAAAAGTTACAACTTATGTTGGTGACATTAAGGCCCTCCGCACACGGGTCGACTGATTTGCAATCGGAGTTTCAAATCGGTTGGGGATGCAACCGTTTGGCGACATAGTCTGTATACGAGAACGGGGATACACACACGGGTCGATAAAAATGTGACCGATTTGCAATCAGCTCCAACCGGTTGCATGCGACTGTTTTTCCGTGTCGCGAGACGGTTTCAGTTGTATGGTTGCGTGTTTTGCTGCAGACGCAGACCAATGTGTGGTCGAGTACTTTAAAGTTAAAAAAGCGAGATTGGAAAGTAGGGATGACGGAACTAGTGGCTCTAAAAACGAAAGAAGAGACGCAATCAAAATGTTTTTGCTAAGTTTGATCCCTGAATTGGAAGGGTTGGACGATTTACAAATTAAACTTTTTAAACGGAGAGTACTTAGTCTTATTGATGATATATCAACACCATCACAACCCCAATATTTGCAATATGGCGAAGAAGTATCACAAGAATCGGGCGATTCCCGGTCAATTTTATAGAGATTTTAGCCAGGCTCTCAACCAGGGCAATTACTAGTCAATAACACAAACTAATATACAGAAAGGTTACTATTTACATCGCTATTATTTACCTTAACTGACAATTTTGCCAAAAGTGAAAAGAAACATACTTACCTTAGAGTTATTAATACCCTTTCTTCTACAGTCACACATTCCCTCATATTTGTGTCCATTTTCCTTATAAAAGGAGTAACCATCGTCACCAATTTCAGGTAAGACTCTTTGGACATCCTATAGAAAGCTATGAATTTACTGTCCGTTTGTTTTAATTGCTCTGCTGCTAAGAAGAGCCTAGACTTCATATTTTTTTGTATGTAAGGATGGCTCCAATATTTTCTTCGTCCTGCTCTACGTAGTTTGCGGTATTGATAGTAAGCAATTACGTCTTCTTCGTCAGAACTGTTACTTGACATATTTGCTGAAACCGTCTTCGTAACAAAAATGTACTTCGCTAGTAAGCGGAGAATACCAATTGATTGCAACTGATCTGGAAACGGTCGCGCTAGTGTGCGGACACGGATTGTTTTCTGATTGCAAACTGGTTGTACTTGTAACCGATATGAAACTCCGATTGCAAATCAATCGACCCGTGTGCGGAGGGCCTAAGTCTTTTCATGCGATCACATGCGATGTTAACCGTGAAAGAGAGAATTTATTTAGTACTGTGCTATGGTACTAGTGAATGATGTTTTCGTGTAGTTATACAAAAATTCCAGCAAAAATATCCGGACACAAAAATATCTCATGTTGGGGCTCGCAAACTGATGAAAAAATTTTTTGAAACGGGTTCTGTATTATCCATAAAGAGGCAGACAAAGAGACTAAACGAGGAAGTCGCTGCTTTTCAGATAGCTTTTCAACAAATGACATTGTTTCTTCCCAGCATTGTCGTTATTGGAGCGATGTAAATCCAATTACCCTTAAATTTTATACAGTCAATGTACTTTCAGCAAGACAGTTGCCCAGCTTACCATTCACACATAGTGCCAAATGGTTAAAATTACAATTTCGTCAAAAATAGATTGAACGAAATGGTCCTATTTGATGGCCAGCACGTAGTCCTGATTTTAAAATTATGGATTTTTATTTTTGGAGACGATTGAAACAAATTGTTTACAGTGAACCATTACAAGATGATACAGAACTATTAAAACTAAGAATACCTAATTAAAGCGATAGAATCTCTACCACTGACGGAAATTCGTACTTCTTATAAAGAATTTAGAACTCGTCTTCAAATGTGTGCCGAATTGGGAAGGAATTTGTTTGAATGAGGACATAGTGTGTTATTACATAAATTTACATTTAAAATATTTTATTCAATTAGCCATATTTTAATTTGATTTGTCCGTATATTTTTCACTGACATAGGTTGTAACCACGAAGTAGTGTTATAACTTTTACTTTATTTTATTGATTTCTATGGTTACGTATCGTAAATTGAACTTGAAAAATTTTTAATTTAGGAAAAGTATAATTTTTACATAAAAATGCGAATAATTAGTTAACTTCTATAGTTAGAATATAAAGTTCGTGCGATTTAGTGGTTTGAACATATCCAACGCATTATTTATGCTGAGATAAGTTTGAAAAATCAGTAACATAAATTTTTTTCCTCTTTGTAACTCGATCCGTGATACATCAGTCTTCATATCCCCATTGAAAGGGTATTTTAATGGAAAGTCCGCTATGATCCCTAATTTTCTA